CCAACTGGGCGAAACAGGGTCCCCAGGAGCCAACAGATCGTGGTGTCCCCCTCATAGCCTAGTGGGGTTCGCGGACTCTGGGGCACCTCAAAGCATCCACCCCACTTGGGTGGAAATAGGCCCTAAGCTCAGACAGGTGGAGAGGAGACCATGCTGAGGAAGAGCTGGTCCTGAGGGGCTGGGTACCAAGCCCCAGTGCTGCTGCTGCAGTGACGGGACCTGTGCAGTGGTCAGCCCACAGCACATTCCAACCAAGGAGCAGGGTTGTCCTAGAGCAGGTGGTCCCTCCAAAGTTACCCCAACCCCATCCATACACACACTGGGCTCACGAGACCTAGTACCACAGGATGTCCTAGGGACAATGGCTGCTGTCACCTTAACCTCGTAGCTGGTCAACCTGAGGTATGACTTTCTCTGGATCCCAAAGCTTCCACTCCACACAGAATCAAACATCTCACTCCCAGCCAGCGCCCCCCCTCCCAGCACAACACACATCCACGGAGCACTGTGTCCCTTGGCAGGCCTGGCACGGGCACGATTCTCAGTAGGACCTGCACCCGCCCTACCAGGAAGTGCCAGTTGGCCTGGTGTCCCCATGCTGTCTGATAAGGGCAGGTGTAGCCACAGATACTTTAGAAAAGTTATCTTTTACTCTTGAAAAACCCACAGATCTCTCATTTTCTGCACATAAGCATTATACAGCCATTTATTAAAGTATTTATTATATAGTGTTGTCAGATGAAATATATTTATATAGCTGACTTTATGATTATACAAAGTTATAAAAATATAGACCTTAAAACATACAGACTCTTGCCTGGCCGGCGTGGCTCAGCGGTTGAGCATCAACTGACCTATGATCCAGGAGAGCCTGGTTTAATTCCAGGGTGGTGGGGTCCATCCCCAGCAGGGGGCGTGCAGGAGGCAGCCGGTCAAGGACTCTCGTCATTGATGTTTCTCTCTCTCCCCTCTCCCTTCCTCTCTCTGAAACCAATAAAGGCATATTTTAAAATATATAGAGAGACTCAGTCATTTAGGCCAGGCCCGCTGCAGATGAACTCTGAGGTGAGGCAGAAGGAGGGCCCCAGCTGGGGGGAGGCCAGGACTCTGAAGTGGGGGGAGGGCAGTGCCAGAGGAGCCAGAGTGGCAAGCCTCTCCCAGCTCTGGGACAGTGGCACACTGGGAATTAGGGACACATGAGTCCCAGGTTGACACCTAGTCTGCTACAGGAAGATGGTATTGAGTAAACTGTTTCCCAATTTGAGATGCTGAGGCTTTTTGCTTCAAGGATGCCCCAGTCCTCAGCAGCAATGGAACCCAGGGTGCAACTCTGGGGAAGGGTGTGCTCACAAGGCTCCCAAGGCACTTGCAGCAGGGACACCACTTCCACTAACCAGCTGCCAGAGATAAGACCCTGTGTGAGTGCTGGGTGGGGCTGGGGAACGGTGCAGAACAGCTTCCTGAATGGCAAGCTTTTAAAATCTTACATCACCCTGAGGCAAGCACTTACCCAAAAAGACCTAAGAGCTGCTTTCCTAAAAAGTAACTACAGCAACACCGATGACCTGTTTTAAACAGAAATAGGAGTTTGGAAAGTATTTCCTTTTTTTTATTCCTCCTCGAGGATGTTTTTTCCAGTGCTTTTCAGAGAGAGTGGGAGGGAGGGAGAGAAACATCGATGTGAGAGAGACATCGATTGGTTGCCTCCTGCACACACCCCAACCAGGGCAGGGGATCAAGCCTGCAACCAAGGTATGTGCCCTTGGCTGCAATTGAAGCCGGGACCCCGCAGTCTGAAGGCCGACGCTCTTAACCACTGAGCACACTGGCCGGGGCTGGAAAGTATTTTCCATTCTACCTGGCAGGCTGATCGTGCATTTTTTTCCCTTTGAACTTTAACAGAAGGGCCCCGTGCGGTGTTACTGGAAGATGGACTCAGCCTAGGACAGATCCCACTGAACGCACCTTCTTATAGCACCTCTGGCTCTTGCCACACCCAAAGCAGCCTGACGGTTCCACTGGGGAAGTGCACGTTTCACACCCAGGGCATCCAGGTGAGACCAGTAAACCCAGCACTCCACAGGGCCTCGGCCAGGCCATGTCTGTCCCCACAGGAATCAGACACAAGCTGCACTGTGTTCTGTAACCTTATTTTTGTATGGAAATCTGAAAGAAGCCAGGGTGCTCCATCAGCCCTGGGGTTGGGTTCACATATCTGAGCCAGTCATCACCTGATCTCCTTGCTGTGAAATGCCACTTCCCCAGCAGGGTCACCATGAGGGCCAGCACAGGTAAGGTGCCTCAAAACTACCAAGGGAACAAGCAGCTTGCAGGTCATTAGGAACCGATCCTCCAAGACACCTGTCATGGTCTTCACAGGAAGACCAAAACATATCCAAAAGCAAACACAATTAGCCTCTGAAGGGCCTTGAGTTTCTCAAAATGTAATGAGATAAGACTAGAAAAAAGAGGAACTTTTATTTACAGCCATGGGAGTCCCGCAGGGCAGGAGTACACAAAACACACACATGGACCTTTGAAGCCAGTGGCAGGCCGCGCCCTCAGTGCCCGATCCGCACCAACATCACCGTGACGTTGTCCGCTGAGCCCCGCTGCACCGCCTTGTTGGCCAGCCTGTTGCAGGCTGCTTCATAGCGGGTGTCCATGGCCGGCTTGCCTTCCCGGCTCTGGATCTTCTCATCCTACCAGGCAGGAAAGGGCGCTGGTCAGTAGGAGAACCCTGCACCCTGTCACTCTTCTGAGACAGTATCACCACGAGGAAGAACTGCTCCCCAGCCTCTATCAGGGCAAACCACTGGTCAGTCTCCCGGGCAGAGCTGACGCTGAAAATGCACACAGGGGTGCCCCCCAACAATGGAGACATGGGGGAAGGACTAGGGTGTAAGGTGCAGCTGGACAACTGCCACTCACTCCCTTGTGCGATTTCTTACCTCAAGGCAGGACAAGATGAAGTTCACAGCTTCTTCTGGGGTAAAGACCTTGAAGAGGCCGTCGCAGGCCAGCAAAATGAACCTACAATACGGGGAAGAAATGTGAATGGTGTTTTAGAGCAAACTTTAGAAATTGGCCAGTAACAGAGGTAATATAGACAAACCACTTGTCCAACTACAAAAAAGCTAACAATTTTTAACAACTAATTTAACTTCTATGACCCAAAAGTTAAACCTACTTAAAAATAATTGCAGGCGGCTGTGATACATCAAACCAGGATGGCTTCCCGTCCCCAATACTGAAAGCACGGACCAATTCAAACACCGGGTGCCGCACTTCCTCAAGCAAACTCAAAGGGGAAATCACCAAACAGAAACACCAGGTGTACAGGAGCTTCTCTAGCCACCTGCCTCGGACCATTTCCCAGACATAAAACTAGTGGTTAGGCCTAAATGAACATCCTGGAACACCTAGTACCTGCATGAAGGCCATGTTGAGTCCAAGGCCCCAGGAGGACAACCACTTTCACCGTCTGGAAACAGGATTACCTCCCTCTCAAAACCTCTGCCTCTGGGCTTCCCAAGGAAAGTCTAGTTCTCTGAGCACCAAGGAATGTTTCCCATGGCTTTAACACCTTTCCTCAATGTCGTGCCCAGGCCCTGGTTCTCCTCTTGACTGGACATTCATTCCACAGGTATTTACCAGCACATGGTCTGTGCCTGGGGCAGTGGGGCACAAGTCCAGGAAGGCTCCTGCCCCTCCAGTGAGGTGACGACAACCCAGAGCAGGGAGAGCTAGCACAGCACACCGCAGGGGCCTGGTCTGGGGCAGACAAGATTTTCCTGGGGCATCACTCAGAAAACCAGAGGGGCTGGCAGAAACACATCCCAAGCCCCGAGGGTCGGCAAGAGTGTGGCACGCTGAAGGCAGGCATGGGGAACAGGGAGGCTGAGGAAGGAGGACCAGAGTCGGGCTCCTGCCCTCCAGAAGAGCCCCCTACCCCTAGGGCTGCAGCTCGGCCAATGAGCTTTGTCATCTCCCTCACCACTCAGTCTTGTGAGCCCCTTGTTCTGAGCTCTTCCCTGTTCTCCCCTGCACAGCTGCCTTAGTTTCGCCCCCATTCAGCCAGAGCCGCTGCACCAGTTCCTATGAGCCTCCCGCTCTTTCCTGCCCCAACCATCAACAATTAGGGCTTCCTGCCACCAGGCAGAGAAGAGCCTCACTTCAGGCAGCTTAGCATGGCGAGGACAACTGAACAGGCAGTCTCTTTCTCAACCTTGCTTGGCTCTGCCTAAAACTCCCCATGACCCCCCACCAATGAGAAATTAAAATTCAAACTCCCCGGCATGGGACTCAGGGCCCATCACCTCTGTCACCAAAGGGCCTGCTGACCCGCTCGAATGCCTTTGTTGTGTGTTTCCTGCCAGAAAGCCCTCTCCTTCCTCCACTAGAGATGCCCCTCCCCATTGCCAGGCTCCCAGAGCAGCCCCACTCCTAGGACAGGAGCCCGCTACCAGACCGTGGGGCCCACTATAGCAGAGCCATGTTTCATCTCTCCACCCTCCAGGGCCTAGCACAGTGCCCAAGATGCAGCTCCTTACGAATCAGAAGAGTCAGAGACAGGCAGACCACGTGTGTGCAGCGCATGCCTATGGCAGGCACTTTTACCTGTCGTTGGGGGTCAGCTGGCAGCGTCTGATGTCTGGCACAGAAGTGACCCCGCAGCGCTTGTACTGCCCATCCCCAATGGAGCGGGACACCTCCAGCACACCCAAGACACGCCCGTCCCTAAAACAAGGGGAAAACATTCAGACCATCTGCCAGATCATGGGGCCACAGTACTTACAATCTGATCTCGAAATAAGAAAAATAGGACAGCGTGAAAGAGGCAGCACGCAGAATTCACACCATTAACCAGCTACACTCCCTCCTCCCTCCAGCAATACAGAGCTATGCTGAATTTTCACTGCTCTAGGTCACTAACATTTCCCGGGACCCCTCGGAGACTCAGCTGGGCTGCACACTGAAGGGAACAGCACCCCTCTGGCTGTACTTACATGGCCACAATGGTCTAACTTATTGATTTGCCCACAGCTGAGAGTGGACTTAAATGAGTAGGGGCCTGGCTTTGTATTTGTTGTTTATCTTAGAGCTCCTCAGGTGACTTGGGCATGCACCCAGGATTAAGAACAGGTGGAACAGAGGGTTATTTTGCATTTCAATCTAACTAGATTTGGAAAATACTAAAATGACTGTTCCTAGATTCGCAGCACCTTTTCTTTCCACCTGGTATAGGTATGACTTAACTTATATACAACCGGTGACACTCGGCAGAGCGTTACACTTTCACCCATTATATTTTAAAAAAATATGTCTTTATTGATTTCAGCCAGAGGAAGGGAGAGGAAGATAGCAATATCAATGATGACAGAGTCGTTGATCGGCTGCTTCCTGCATGCCCCCTACCGGGGATCAAACCCGCAACCCAGGCATGTCCCCTGACCCGAATCGAACAGAGATCTCCTGGTTCATAGGTTGATGCTCAACCACTGAACCATGCCAGCCAGGCTCACCCATTCTATTTTTATGGGTCTAAGGTGACCCATCAGCAGGGGAACATCAGTCCTTGGCTCGAGGCCTTCAAGCACAGTTCTGGTGGGCTTACCACTGTGTGACCTCAGGCAGCTGCAACTGGTGGACCTCAGACCCTGGGTAAAGCCATAGGAGAAGCCACACTGGACAAGATACGGGAGAGCACTTGGCAAGCACCAGAGCTGGGTCTGGCGATGCTGCGTGGATAGAGGCACACGGAAGGAGTCCTCACCTGGGCCTAGGCCGCTGTCTCCGACTCAGAATCAGCCTGGTCCCAGCCCTGCACTGTGCCCAGTCACCCTCCTGGTGGGGACGGCTGAGTGACCAGCAACAAACACTTATGCTGTCACCTGTGAGAAGCTGAGCAGCCCTCTCCACACAATTATTAGAGTGAACAGCAGGGGGCGAGGTGCATAGGAGCAGAAGTGAAGACTGGACTGGGGGGG